TGAGGGAGCCTACCAATTACTTGGTCAACGCTCATTGTTTTTAAAGGTCTGAAATTACAAAATCCATGCATTTTGCTAAAATATGAATTGTCATTGTTTACTTGCTATTATTGAACTGAAAGAAACAGAAAGATAAAAATGAACAGATTACTGAGATTAGTCTATAAACTCCTACATAATTATGATGGCTCAATAGCCAAACTGGTTATGGTTTACAGCTGAAAACTGTCCCGCCATTTTTTCCAAAATTCGTTTGGTTTTGCCGAAGAGTTCACTCCAACACATGCAGGCTTAATTTATAAGTGCAGCTCACAGCACATAACATTTGTGTTTAATGAAAATCTCTTCTTGATTTTTCTGTTATTAACCCTTTCGTCTCATGCCGCTGCCCGACGTACCTAGGGCTACAAAGCACTGTGTCGTGGTGTGCAAAAGCTATTCATCTGAAGCGATATCAGTTTATTAGTAACCATGCTTCTTTACGCCTGGAAAATTCCCCTTGCTTCTTCAATGTATACTTTATACACTCGGTTCGGCGCATGCAGTTCTCGATGCAATCTTTTGCGGGAGATGAGTTTGAACCTGTACATTTTGACGATAGTATTGCTAGGACATTTTGAGGGAATCTTTTAGAAGACAGGAAAGTTCACTCTAACATATACGGGGCTCTTGGCAGTGATCTCAAGCGACGATATGATGCAAGACGCTCCAAATTATTGTTTACACAATTATTGTTACTCCAAACTTCCCCACCTACGGGAAGGTTAAATAAAAGGTCACCGCTGTCTTTTGTTTTTCCCCGGGAATCCTTTTAAAAAAAAGTGCGTAGGGGACTTACCACTTGGCATTTTTAAAGCCATTTTAATATATTTCCAATGGGGGGGGGGGGTATGCTTCAGGTGAAGTTGGTTGCCGTGTGAAGGCTTGTACTCCTTTTTTTTTTTTTTTTTGGCTTTTCCGCAAAGTTGCGGAAAAGCCTTTGTTTCTCTACGAATTTTTTTGGCTTTTCCGCAAAGTTGCGGAAAAGCCTTTGTTTCTCTACGAATTTTTTTTCTTTTTTATTTTTTTTTTTCCTCTTGGGACTTCCAACCAAAATGCCATAGACTTTGTGCACGTTTTTTCTAGCAAACACTTTTGGCATAAAACAAAGTCATATGACATCAAAACTTAACATAGTCACAGAACATATAGCAAAGGTCGTTCGCGAAGATAGACGTCATGATGACGTCATCATGGGTCACGTGACGTCATCATTCATGTGCATATTACAAAGTCCTATATCTACAGAACTGTTAGTCCGATTGAGTTGAAACTCGGTATGTAGGTAGATCGGGATGTGTTATAGACGAAAATTGAGGTGACGTCATCATGACGTCATCGTGTGATTTTATATAGATTTTTGAAGATTTGGACCTTTAAGCCATATCTCACTAACGCAATATGATAAATTCAAAATTCTTTTTGTATTAGGTTCGCCCGGCAATAGATAAATGCACAAAATTTGGAAAAATGTGTGACGTCATAATGACGTCAGCAAAAATGCGATTTTTTGAAAAACATATAAGGGAATGTCCGATCGTCTTGAAACTTGGTGGGTGGGTAGATAATAACACTAGTACACACAATCTTGAATGACGTCACGATGACGTCATCGGTCGATTTTTAAAGATTCTTTTAATATTGCCAATTTTATTCTGCTTAGAAAATTTAACACTTTTATCAATCCGATTTTTTTCAAACTTGGTACGGACTAAAACCACAATAAAATAATGAGCACTGCCAAGTATTGTTACGATGACGTCATCATTAGACATGTGACGTCATCGTTAACTTGTATATTTTAAGCCCCTATATCTCATGAACAGTACGTCAGGTTTGGTTGAAACTTGGTATGGGGGTAGGCCGGGATGTGTTACAAATAAATATTGAGGTGACGTCATCATGACGTCATCGTGTGATTTTATATAGATTTTTGAAGTTTTGGACCTTTAAACCATATATCACGAACCCAATATGTTAAATTTAAAATCCTTCTTGTATTAGGTTTGTAAGGCAATAGGTATATGTACAAAATTTTGAAAAATGTGTGACGTCATGATGATGTCATCAAATATGCACTTTTTTGAAACACATATAAGATAATGTCCGATCGTCATGAAACTTGGTGGGTGGGTAGATAATAACACTAGTACACAACATCTGAAATCCGTCACGATGACGTCATCAGTAGATTTTTTTACGATTTTTTTAATATTGCCAATTTTATTCTGCTTACAAAATTTAACACTTTCATTAATCCGATTGTTTTCAAACTTGGTACAGACTAAAACCGCAATAAAATAATGAGCACTGCCAAGTATTGTTACAATGACGTCATCATTAGACATGTGACGTCATCGTTTGTATATTTTAAGCCCCTATCTCATCAACAGTAATTTAGATTGGGTTAAAACTTGGTATGGGGGCATGCCGGAATGTGTTACCAATAAATATTGAGGTGACGTCATAATGACGTCATCTCGTGATTATATATATTTTTATATATGACAAATGCAATATGCCAAAATCAAATTTCCATTTGAATGAGGTTTGTTAAACAAAACGTAAATGCACACAGTTTTGCACAAAACAGAAAAACATGACCTTTATTTAAAAAAAACATAATGCGGAAAAGCCCTATGTTCTGTTGCAAACAGACATAGACCTCTAGTTTTTTTTTAGAATACTCGTACTCGAAAATAATGTACTGAAATATCAAAATACTCGGACTCGAATTCACAGTATTCGCACTCGAGAAGCAATGTACTTTGACTCGACTATTCGAAATCGTACTCCATCATCAAAGTACTCTGACTCGATTATGAGGACTCGGGGGAAATCGAGTATTTTTTTTTCTTGAATGAAAAATATAAAGTCCTCACTAGGAGACGATCATGCTCCGTTGTATTGATTCTTACTGACCAGTGCTGGGCTGTGGAGAGGATCGATTTCTTATGTGTTAGTCTTTGTACGACCGTCATGTGTAATGTGCGACCGTTGTCTGCGTGGGATCTCATTACTTGATATTCTAATTGTTTTAAATTTAGTTCTCCATGAATTACTCGTACTCTTACTTGAACTTGGAGGTCCAAGTACTCGGATTCGGCTTTACTTGTACAAAACTTGTACTCGGAGTTCCACTTGGACTTGGGTACCTGTACTCGTTCTCAAAGTACTCGGACGCGATTGGTACTTAAAAGCTTGGTCCTCGACAGTATTTTGTACGCGGGTAAAATAACCCGACGGCAACACTGACTGCAGTCGAGCATGGGCAGAAGTCTGTGACCCAACTCCATAAAAGTCAATGGCGCCCTCACTCGGATTTACTCCTTACCGTGTTAGTAGTACGGCCTGCCTGATGGTTGAACAATCCATATCTTGCGCTTTCTTTCATCAGAGCATGTACTGGTCTCTCTCTCTCAGACGTCTAATGAAGTCATGACAGATGGCTGTCGAGCTTGGATGGCCTGTAACACGTATCACCACTTAGACCCATACATTATCATCTTAAATGAAGAGGATTAGTCCCGCTAACTGCAACGTCTGTCCCCGCAGTTGTTTTTTTTAATAAAACTGTGAAACGGGCACTTCTGTCGAGCGTTATTGTTTTCTTGTAAGAGCTGACATTTCTGGAACGAAAAATCGATCAGGTTATTCATAAACATTTTTAGTAAAAGTCACCCTCGTTGGTCTAAGCTCATATCATTCTCAAAGATTTAAACGGAATAATTATTTCAGATTTTGAAGAGTGTGCCACCGTACGTACGCATAAGCAATTTATCATTGTTTCCCCAATGTGTGTAAATACATTAATTTTTTAAAAAGCCAACAGATTTCCCGCGAGGCTGGAGATGGTTTCCATGGCTGGACATAATTAATTTTTGAATAAAAAGGGAGCATTACATTGATTAATATTCAAACGTGACCGTGGCGTGAGGCGAGCATAATGTGCTTCTGTCCGCGCAGGTTGAGTTGGGTTTCACAGAAACTCAGAGATCATCCCCGCATAAACACTATGAACACGGCGCTCATTCATTAAGGACGCACGCTACATCGAACAACGAACAGTATGCTACGGAGCTAGCTGCGCCTTCCCAGGAAACTGTCGTGCACAACTTGGTGATGAAAAAAAAAGCCTTTGAAAGTCGAAGACTCGTTTATTATGTGAGAACAGTGTTAAGTGACGAGAGTTTGCTCCTAGATCGCGCAGTCACCGTTGCTGCTTTGGCCCTTCTGGTATTCCAAATCGATTGAACACCTTCGGAGAGCTCGCAATCATAATTTTATTTGGGCGATTTTTGTTTGATCTGACGATTGATGAGAAGGTCGTGAAATTATTCCTCGTAGTCAGCACGTCTTTCAGCGGAATCGTAAAAGCAGGAGAGAGATAATACGCTTGGCTTTTACTACGACACGTCTCATCTTTGCTTTCTAGGGCAAGCAGGGAGAAGAATCTGCCCGCCAACTCTACCTTTTTCGCGGTGTTTTCTCGAGGATTTCACTACACGGGAAAACTCTGAAATTGGCCCCTACGATCTCGACACGAAATTGAATTTGAAACAATAGGCGTGCCCTGGACATCTTTCGGGTCATTTGCGCAAGCAGGCTAATTCTCCAAACCCTCAGCAAACTTTGGTATGTTTTTACAACCCAACGATTCATGATAAAAACACCGCGGGCCTCACTCAAAGGACGTCTGACAAACAAGGCCTAGTCAAGATTTTCCAGCAAATTGCGTTTTGGAAGCAATTGCGAAAAAGACGGTAGCCAGACTTGGACCAACTTTACAAGGTATCTGCGTTTTGAGAGTTTGCCAACTCGTGTGCAGTATAGTATCTTGGTGAAAATAATACCAGGCGTTGTTTTCCGGTGAAATCTGCAAAATTATACAAACGTCCTCTTTTATGGAAAGTTGTTCCGTCTCGTCCAGCGCGAGTGATCTCTCCAAGAGCAGCAGTAAGATGGGGAAAGCGCTAGGTAACTTCGGCTCGCGGGTCGGCAGCTACGTCGGGATGATGTCGGACCAGTTTTTCGACTACGACACACCCAAGATGGTACAGATCAAGAGCAAGAAGGTGGGGCTGATCAACAGGGTGGTTCAGATATGCGTCATAGCCTACGTTGTCATGTAAGTCGGAAATTTTGGTAACTCTTCTCATTAGCTATGCAACAAAACGGGGAAAATACTTCTTTTTTTCTTGAGGTTCTAACATGAAGTAACTTTTTTTCTAATTCGGCCAGGGTTGTAAGCATCCCTTTGACTGGATGTCGAATGCCAATATTGTCAACGGTTATAATGGGCGTTTTTGCTTATCGCTTATAAGTCGCACGTTGGCCACGCATATTGATTGTACTAGCATACGGTATATCGAGCAGCATTTTATTTTTTCTAAAGTACGGGATTGAAAGCGCGATACTTCATAATTATAATCATTATAGTTGAAGTACAAAGCCGTATCGTATTACGGAGGTACACACCAATCACTTTATAACACATCCATAAATGTTTCTGAAAGTGACGGTTTGCAGAAACAAATGACTCAAACAAATGTCATCATTTAAAAGTTGCGTTAATGTACTTTTATTCAGTTTCAAGCACTGTCATTTCAATTAATTGACATTCGTACGTACAAATTAAAGATGATGACATGTGTCAACTTTTCATTGAAACTATATTAACTCCTAATATGAAATTCATCACAGTGAAAAACAACAGCCCTGAAATTTAGCGTGTTGCCTGTCTTGTGCTTTGCCAATAGTGGTTTAATTAACTCAGCGTAAATGCGGCGGTTTCTTTAACACCAACTGGTTGAGCCATTCTTCTGCACGCGTGCAAAATTGTTGCTTCAGTAATGTTGTACATACAATAACACACCGACAAAATGACGTTTTACGCGGTACCTACGAAAACACTAGGACTATACCTGCCACGCGGATAGCTGTACATGTAAAAGGAGTGTGAATTATGAGGGGATTGTCAAAAATAATATGATTTCCTTCAAGTTCTGGTAAGGACGAATTCCTGAAGAGCGCCTACTGCACCAAGGAAATGAAGACTATGAGAACATCAAGCCTATAAGGTGGATAAACTCATAACTCTCTTATTTCCAAGGAGTGATGAAAATTCACTCCCATCGACTGAAACTACGGGCCTCACATTATTTTTAGAGTGAAATTCAGTCACAATCGAACCGAGATTGAGTTTTGACTCGAGTTTCCCACTGGATTGGTTCTTTTTCAGCGTGTTAAACTTAATACCAAAGACTGTTTTTCAATCTGAATCGTTTAGTCCCTGTAGAGTACACTGCAAAAGGAATTGGGCAAAATTGAAAATTCGACCAATGCTGGTCGAATTATCAACTGCCAACACTTCTTCCCAATAGTATGACATTTTTTACCCAATTCAACCCAATATGAGGTGATTTCATACCAATGCTGAGTAAATTACGTTGCCCAACAATGTTTTATCCAACCTTTTTACAGTGTAAGGTTGTGACTAGTAAACCAAATTCGTTTATAAGTCAGGATAGGACTAGAACCCGGGCCGCTCAGGTTGCACGCGAGGAAATGTGCCCTCTCCTCTGACGCCGTAAGTTATCATCCCGCCCAAACCGATTTCCTTTTTTGAGGGGAAATAGCTTCACGTTTACGGCCAAATTGTTGGTATGCGACTGCCAATGGAGGATTTACGATAATAGTCTCGAGAATAGCAACTATTTACCATCTGAGCATGTTGTTTATAAGACACGGAATGTGTATGTAATTACTTGAAATAGCATTAACTCCCACAAAGTGGATATTTTGATCAGAAGGTCACGATCCGATGGAACACAATCAGAGACAGCTATCCAGTTCAATTCATCGTGATTTATGCTGTTTGGACGGAGATTCATCGAAGCTTTACTTTTGTATGAGAAAGCGTTTATACAGAATGACATTTTACTGACGTAAGCGTAAGCTTATAATACCGTTATTTAGATAAGGCATACCATGTGATGTTGAATGAGTGTTTTCTTTTAGCTACCCTTTCCAGATTCTTAAAATAAGGCTCACAAGACAATTCGAGAAAATTATTTGTTTACTCACAATTTGTCAAACAGCATGGTACTTTTAGAGCGCCGTGTACCTTTGGTAATTTATAACTCACATAGTTCCGACAGCAGTGAAATTTATAATGGCTAACACCACAAGGAAATACATTGAACATCAATCACATAAATCACTGTACTTAATGTAAATCTATTGGACATCTGAGTCAAGCTGAACCAAGTAAGAACAAAAGGGAACCATGATACACAGAATCAAGAAAAGATGGATATATGGACAGGTGCTCGGCGTCTTATACCCAGTGGAATATAAGCCCTCCTCTCAGCCACGACAGAAAATATTAACAAAAAAACAACTAGCAGGGGCAGAAATGATCTTGGATTATAGGTATCAGCAGAGTAGTACCAAGAGATTATTGGCGTGGTTACGAGATCACGGAGACAGTGCATTTGCAGTTAAACAGATACGAATGGGAGTGTATGTCATTGCATTTTTTATTGCCTGTAACGTAACGCATTGGAGGAAAGACGATGATGCAGATAAGTGTTCGTGTCATCTGATGAATAATACTTATGAATGCAATTAATGTTTCATATTTTGCGCAACCATAAAGAATGGATTTCAGAAAGAGAGGCATGTACGCCATGCAGTAATCGGCTAGCAACTTGGCACATGTGTAAAGACACGTTGGTTTTTAATAAATTTATTTCCTATTTTGTGTAAATGTATCTGCGCGCCATACCCATGACAAAAGGACACCACTGACGTCATTACCCTTGGTAGTGGTGAAGGTAGTGACGTCATTAGTGTTTGACACTATCAAACACGGGTGACATTGAGCCTCCATTCAAAATTACAGCAGACATAGGCCCTACCATATATTCGCTAGAGCACATCCTATAAAGGATGCAGTTGCCTACATGCACGGATATTGCCATGAGCATCCATCCTTATAACATTTCAGGTTATACACCCATTTAGAAACCTACGCCGCTCGGCTCAAGCTGATTTATATATGATTGGATTACAGTGCACTGACTTTTAAAAGGATCAAACCAATTACGGATAAGACCTTTTCCATCATGTTCTAAGCATAATACAGGCAAAGAGCAGACAGTCAGCCCGATCTGTTTCAGCAAAGTATTTTGAAGATACTCACTTTCTTTCGTCGCCATGTTTTTTTCCCTTTTAGTCCCGAGATCTATTCTGAACCCACTCAGGATTTTTTGCTCACCGTGTCCCGATTGGTTCCCGGAGTCTCCGGTACGGAGTGGAGGGCACTTACATCAGGTCCAGTGGCGGTCCGGATCGGCAAACAAGATTTACTATCGTAAAACGTCACAACATTGTGACAAAATGGGGGAGAGCAAGCACTCGACTTTTATGCTGTTATGTTGAATCAGCTTCGATGAACCATCGGAAGGAGTTGTGATGGTTCAGATTATTAATAGAGCGTGGTGGGTACGATGCGCTGGCATACAAGCTGTTGAGGTTCCAAAAAGAGGTATCAGTAATTCGTTTTACCCTTCCCTGAGAACATTTCAAAATCGTCCTGAAGTGAGAAACGAACTCAGATCTGCTTTTTAGTGTAAACAAAGGAGAAGAACTTAAGAAGAAGTAAATGTGGCCCATCAAGCCGGGCGTCTATTTCCGGGTTCAGTAACATGAAACGACTGAGAATATTTCTTTTCCCCCGGAATCGATGCTAGACCTATACCCCCCAGCTAAAGCCGGTACCCCTTTATACTCCTGGGTGGCGAGATGCAAGTGGGGTTAAAGTAACTTGCCCAAGGACACAACATATGTGACCAGCAGCTGGATTCGAACCCCTGACACTCTGATCACGAGTCACGAACTCTAACCACTAAAGTCGCACATTCCCCACCAGTGCAAGACTCTTCCGCTCTACCTTAAGAATAAGATGGCACTGACCTTGTGCTTTGAAGGGAACGTAGGACAAAACGAACTTTTCACTATAAATCTTTATTCCAAACCAAAATTCCATCAATGTTTTATCTTATTGCTGGTTGATTTGCTTTTTTAAACTTATTGGTAGGCCTACATGTATTAACTCCTTTGTGAAAGTTGCTGTCGGAATCTAAATTTTTAAACTTAGGCCCTAAATGACGATTTTTTGTTACCCGTCATTCATGATAATTATGAAGGACCGAAAAGCGCATGCGTCACAGCTTAAATTAAGATCGAATCTATTTTTTTTTTACTTTCCTCAAGTGAATATCACATTCAACGAACGCCCTCAATTACCAAGGCATTTTTCCTTTACCAAAACTTCGTCACAAAACAGCCGTTTGATTAGAATTTTTTTTGAAATAACCCTGGATGGACCGTCGGCTGATGAGTTCCAATGATTTAAGAGTGGGGCGTGTGACCAAAAACTCCCTGACCTATCATTAAGCGGCTTACGTCACTTGATGAGCAGTTAACACACTTGACATTTAAAAAGTGGACTTATGCAGCGGTGATTCGGTTCGAATGGTGAGCTATTGGCATTGCGATCACGTTCGCGTGTGACCGTGCATGACGTCAATACTGGTCCCCGCGGAAGAAAGTAGTCCCTCCCCTGCGGATTCCCTTGCTCGTTTCGTTGTCTGGCAGCATTGAAGGTGTAATCTTAACGTCATGGAATTTGGCGGCAAAATGTTTGTTTTCTCCCTATAGACATATCGGGGTTCGTGGTCACCGAACAATCGAAGACTTATGGCAGACAGATTGTGATGGGCTCTATGTCTCAGAATATCCCTCATGGAGCATTGCTTCCTTACATTGACACTTTGACATGTTGCCAGTCTGATCAAAACATGATCCTTTGTTGGATTCATTGTTAATGGCGTCACTTCACATGGGCCCTGAATAACTGAAAAGGTGTTTGTAATATAGAGCCCACGTCTTAAATAATGATTTCAAACATTTAATTTGGTCCTAGCAGTCCATGAGTTCAGTGTCTTGTGTCAAACGCTTTGGATTATTCATTTTAGGAAAGGCCTAATCTGCGTACATGTGGATAGATTAAAGTCTGTAATAAAAACAAAGCGAGACCTCACCTCACTTCTTAATAACCAA